GAGCCCCCTCCATATGGGATCCGCACTTCACGTTGGTAGTCCGAGTGGGTCATCGGAAACGTGTAAGTGTAGTCATTTTTCGGCTCCGTTGGATTGAATCTTGAGGAAGTCTCCAGCGGGAACTTCGTGTGTCAGTGAATCGCTAGGAATTCTCAGGCGAGAGCCTCTCCCTATGGGGTCCGCACTTCATGTTGGTAATCCGAACGGGTCATCGGAAACCTGTATCTGTCGCCACGTTCCGGCCCCTCTGGATTAAATATAGGGGACGTCTCACGCGGGGTATTCGTCTGTGAGTGGATCGCGAGGATGTCGCAGGCGGACTTAATCTTGGTGATCCGAGCGGGTCATCGACAAACTCTACCAGGCCTAGCAATTGAGCATTCCAGAGGGGCGCATGACGAGACGATCCGCACGCGTCTGTGAGTTGCAAGGACGTCTCAGGCGGTATCCCCTCGCAATGGGGCCCGCACTTCAATCCACGGCATAATATATAATATAAGCGGCGTCCGGGGCTTCGCGGCCCAGGGTCGCACATTTCCCCCCCCCCCCCGTAACCGAATTTCCCCCCTGGGCTGCGGGGGCCTTTTTTGGCATCCAGGGGCCCGTTTTCGGAGTCCCCGAACTTTTTCCGCTTCCCCGAGGCGTCCAAGACGGCCCAAGAGCGCTCCAAGCCGCCCAAGATGGCCCCATGATCGGCCCAAGAGACCCCTAAGATGCCCCAAGGTCGCTCTGCGAGGATTTCCAAGAGAGCCCCAAGACGCCAAAATCATTGATTTTCATTGTGCTTCCAATATTTGTTGCTTCTCACGTTTTCGAGCGGCCGACACTCCAAGACTGCCCAAGAAGCCTCCAGGCCCAAGAGGGCCTGAAGAGGGCCAGAAGACGGCTCCAAGATGGGCCCAAGAGAGTGAACGCGAACCGACCTTTCGAGTTTCCCGCCCCCAGAGATCCCCAGGAGGCCCCAAGAGGCCCCCAAGTGGCTCCAACAGGCTCCAAAGAGGCTCCAAAGATGCTTTAGAGAGGTCCGACAATCTCCACAACGCCCCCGTGGAGGCTTCAAACCTGCTTCCAAAAGGCCCCCCGAGAGGCATCCCACGATATCATCGCAGCGAACATCCGAGAAGTCTCTAAGCCACAACCCAGACACGGTTGCGGGATGGGCCCAGAACTGCGACCTTTGGTTTGCATGGGGGGCTGGGGGGGCCTTGAGGGCTCCAAGAGGGTTCAGAAGGGGCCCCAGACCTCTCCAGAGGCTCCCAAGCTGTCCCAAGATGTTCCCAGGAGGCTCCAAAGAGCTCCAGAAATGCCCGAACAGAGGCGCCCTCTGCCCCAAGAGGCCCCCAGGAGGCCCCAAGAGACTCGAGGCCTCCACGACGCCCCGAAAAGCAACCAAAAAGGCTCCAGGAAGACCCGAGAAACTCCCGAGAACCCCCCTCCGAGCTCGCAGGAGGCCTCTACACAGACCCTCAGAAGCCCGCCAGAAGCCCTTCGTCCTCCATGCTCCGGAACAGCCCTTCGGAATACGTGGCCCTGGCTGAGCCCCCCCGACCCGCCCACCCAGGCCCGAGGACGCCCCCATGACGCCCGCAAGACGCTCCTGAAACGCCTCTCCCGCATGTGGATCCGTGACAATGATGTTGATCATCGGTGGTCCGTCGTCGTCGTCGTCGTCGTCGTCGTCGGTCGTCGCTGGTACGCTACAGGCCAAATCCTTCCTTGAACTTCGCAGTCTTCGCACGAAAATCACGCATGGGTGAAAGGGAGGAACCCGGAAGACCACACGGAAAAGGTCCCGTGGAAATTGACACCGTCTTCGGAGTCGACTAGAACCTAAGCGCGCGCGAAGCGCGCGCGTGGTTCTAGTAGAACATATATTGTCAGTAGATGCGTCTGAGAGCAGAAGAGACCAGAAGGGCAGAAGAGGCCAGCAGAGACCTGGAGAGAGGAGCAGAGACCAGCTGAGGCCGTGCATGAGGTGAACAGGCGGGATGGAGATGAGTGGGGGGGGAGAAGGAGGAGGAGGTGGAGGTGGAGGTGGAGGAGGAGGAGGAGGAGGGAAAAAAGGACGAAGATCAAGAGGAGAAATTGAACAAGGAGGGCGAGCAGGAGAAGGAGGAGACGGAGGACGAGGACAAGGAATCGCAACAGAGGGCGAGACGGGGGGTTCGAACAGGGCGAAGAGGAAAGAGCGAAACGCAATCTGAAATGATTATCATTTGGGGTCCTCACGCGGGGACGTCTCACGCGGGGTCACGCCAAACAGTCGGTGGAGGAGGGGGAGGTGGAGGAGGGGGAAAAGGACGAAGATTAAGTGGGGTCCTACGGTCGGCGTGATTTTTGTTCTCAGCGCATGTGTGGGTTCTGAGAACATGTCGTGGTAGGCCTTTACGACTGCCGGGACGGTCGGCGTGGTAGGCCTTTTCACGACTGCCGGGACGGTCGGCCTTTGCTCAGGAGGAGGAGGAGGAGGACCCTAGCGCCTTCCGAGAAGTCTCTTCTGCGTCTTCAGGGAAGGCCTCGAACTTCTCAGAAGGCCGGGGGACTTTCGATCCATCTGAGAAGGCCCGCCCTTTGTCACTTCCCCCCGGGCTCGCCGCCGATTGCCTGCATAGGTTGGGGCCTTTCCAGGTCAGGGCCGCCTCCGGCCACCATGGGGGGCCTGTCAGGACGGCGAGAACGACGACGTCGTCGTCGTCGTCCTGGCTGTCGTCGTGGTCGTTGCGGTGATTGTTTGGGGCGTTGCCGGAGGGTCGCGGCTGAACTCAACTCGACAAATCTGCCAGGGTGGACCCCAGTATGGGTCCAGGGACCAGTTCTGAGCAGGTGATGGCCGGGGCGAAGGGAGGCCCAGTTCATCGTGAGGAGGATCGGGGACCGAAATGAGGACGGAAAGGTACGGCAGCAGTTCCAGCCTTTTTTTGCACTGGAGTCGTTGTCGGCGTCGCCGCAGACGCTGTCCACGTGGAGCGGGAGCCGCCTGCCCAGCAGCGGCCACTGCCAGTTCGGGACCGCACTCGCTGTCGGGCGTGGTCCCCCCCGACTCTCTGTGCCCCTGCATGGGGCGTGCCGGGGGCGTCCGTCCCGCCGTGCCGCAGATGACAAATCACAGTGGCGACCCATGCCAAGAGACGCCCTGCTTGCCTCCAAGGTGCCCCGGGTTTCTTGGTGTTCGATGTTTTCGCCATGGGGCGCGTGGCGTTCCCACACCGAAAATCCATGGACGTCTCGGTACCTCAGGGATGTGTTTCTCGTGGAAGGTTTCTCGTAGACTGGCCTCCACTGCACACGAAATTCCCAGGGCCGCGCCCAGAGCATTTCGTGGCCAGTGCCGTGGCCGATCTATCGTCGCGTCTCCAAGGGGTTCGCTTCTGTGACTCTCTGGGCCCCTGCTCTGGGCGTGCCACGGCAAGGCTTGAGGGTCGAGGTGGGTCGCCATGAAGCCAATGGGGGCCTGACGGAGTCGACTACACGTAAAAGTAAGCCTTCGCCAGAGGGACCGTCGGTGCGGGCTCACCAGGGCCCCCCGTTCGCTGAGCGCGATGCGATGGTCGCTGCTTGCTCGCTTGGATTTGGCCTCAATCGGGCACTCTTGCCTATGGCAACTCCTTGCGTGTAGCCGAGGGAGGTGACTCTGGAGGTGTTCCGCCGTTTTCTGGGCTCTCGGGGCCCTCCCAGGGCCCCGGGGCTGTAGAAACGGCCTAGGATTATGTCGGGCCTGTCCCTCTACAGGAGGAATATTGAAACATAGTGGCAAAACAATGGTGGGGGGGCGATATCTTTTAGTATTTTTGACTATTTGGGAGGATTTTTGCATTATTTTCAATTTGTCGTCCAAAATCTGCTTGTAGGGGGACATGCCCGACCTTGGCCTAGGATGAAGAGCTGGTCCTGGGGAAAGTCCCAGAGTTGGGAAGCAGATCATGGGAGCGTTGTGTACCTTCGCAGCTCTGTCTCTAGAGTGCGCTAGCGTCGATTGGCGTCAGGTCATCGACGATATGACGTCGACTCAGCGTCGATTCGTGCCGTCGCAGATTGGCGTCGATTCGCGTCGGTCAGCGTCGCCTCGCAGGGCTGCCTCCGAGCAGGACCCACTTGCTCCACGCCAGCACGCTTGGCTCCTCGGGGGACCTCTTGCGTAACCCGTGGGCGCCCGCTGGTGCTCGCGCTTCGCGCGTGCCGGTCGTGGCCAGGGCGGCTGCCCTTCTCTCCAAGGGGGGCGGCGCGAGGGCGCGACGGTCATCGCGCACTGCGGGCGCGGTGGGCGACGTCGAGGGACCGAGGGAGCTCGAGCTGGTAGGACTCCGCAGTTGCCCGCTGGCGCTCGGGATCTCTCGGAGCGCACCCCACCGACCGTAGGCCCGCGCGGTCGCGGTTGACCCCCACGGCCTGATGATGCCGCGCACTGAAGGTCACTTGTGCGATGGGTCACTCACCGATGATTCTTGCGGGAGATAATCCCGGTCTCGGTGTTGGGTTGTGATGCCCGGGCTTCATAAGTGGCCAGAAGATGACCAACAGCACACCAAAATTGAAGGTCATATTCCCCCCAGTGGAAACCCCTCCCTGTGTTGGTGTTAGTGCCAATGTGCAGGCCTCCAATCTTACTACGGATACGGCAGGTTCGCGTCGTGTCCGACGGGCGGCGACCCCGCCGCTGGCGTGCCACGTTGAACGCTGCCAGCGGCCCAGATTCGGTCGATGTGAGACGATCTGACGTTTCGGAGACGGCCGATCGTTCAAGGCTGAAAGATCCCCGCGGTGTCGAAAATGACGGGCCCATTTTCCACCACCACTACCATATGTAGGAGCGGGAGGAGGAGGAAGAGGAGGAGGAGGAGGAGGAGGAGGAGGAGGAGAAGAGGGTGGAGAGGGAGGAGGAGGAAGACCTCCGCATCCTCCCCTCTTCCCCCGTCCTGCACCTGGCAGCGGTGGCGAAAAACCTGCCCATCTCGCGAGAAACCCGCGCCGCAGTCGGCGCGGCGCGAGCCCGCCGCGGCCAGGCTCGCGGAGCGCCAGCGACGGGGCCGAGGAGCAGGCCGACGCGGAGAGGCGGCGGGGCGCCGGGCAGCGGAGGAGCCGCGGGGGGGCCCCCCTGTGGCGGGGGCGTGTGCTCGTTGCCGGCGCCGCCGCGAGGGGAACACGAAGGATTTGACGGCCGAGACTCGGCGGCGCACCCGAGGGGGGAAGTGAGGAAGAGGAGGAGGGAGGAGGATGAGAAGGAGGAGGAGGAGGAGGAGGAGGAGGAGGAGGAGGAGGAGGAGGACGAGGACGAGGATGAGGACGAGGACAAGGAGGATGAGGAGGACGAGCAGGAGAACGAGGAGGGAGGAGGAGGAGGAGGAGGAGGATGAGGAGGAGGAGGAGGAGGACGAGGACAAGGACGAGGAGGAGGAGGAGGAAGAGGAGGAGGACGAAGAGGAGGCAGCGGGGCTTCTCAGAGGCCCTCGCGCCCTGTGGGGAGTCTTCGGTGTCCTCGGGGGAGGCTTAGAGAAGCACGCCGGGAGGCCCGAGGCCCTGCGGGCCTGCTGAGGGGGCCCCGCCCCCTGACATCCCTCCTGGGCTCGCCGCCGAATGGCGATCAGGGCGTCTTATCGACCCCGGTGTTTCAGGAGGAAAAGAAACACACAGACACAATTAGTCCTCGATTCCCAAGAATATATGGGAAAATATGGGAAGTGGGGGGGAAGACAGAAACCCAGAAAATATGGAAAAATATGGGGAATTATTTTATTTGTGTGTATTTATTTGTGTGTCCTGGGGCCCCTTCAGTGCTGGCCATGTTCCATGCGGGCTGTCGCCGATCCACGGATGGGTGAGGGCCAGGGTCGGCACCGGCGTTTCCGCGTTCGGTGCTGGTCATGGGCGTCGAGTTCGCCTCCTGCTGTCGCTGCTCCGTGTCTGCCATCGCGGAAACAAGAGCAGCGTGGACATGAACTCCCGGAGGTCCGCGCGGATGTCTTTTGTCGAAGCTGGGCGCCCTGGGGCCGCGCCTGGCGCGCTCCGCGCGCCAGGGAAGGGTCTATCTGTCAGCCTCACGGAGCGGACATTTGCCCTTGTCATGCAATGGCCTTCGGCCTATCCCGCCGCCGCCGTGCCTGGGCTGTGGGTATGGAGCCTGATGGATGCTCGTTGGGATCGCGTGGGAGGCCTCTCGGGGGCCTCTTGGAGGCAGTTTCCAGGCGCAGTGGGGCCTCGGGGCCTCTTGGTGCGTCTTGGGGGCCTCTGGTCGCCTCCTGGGCGCCTCTGTGGGCCTCCTGGGGGGCCTCTCGGGGCAGAAGGTTTGGATTTGGTGTTCGCGTTCCCTCTCTTTGGCTCCGTTTTGGGATGTCTTGGGGCCCTCTTGGGCCTTCTGAGGCCGTCTTGGGGTGGTCTTGGGGGGTCTCTTGGGCCATCTTGGAGCGTCGGAAATTCGAACAGACAAGAACGCCAACATCCTTCAATAACATCATTGCGAAAAATAGATGATTTGTGCCTCTTGGGGCTCTTTTGGGAGGCCCCTTGCGGGCCTCTGGAGGCGTCTTGGAGGCCTCTTTGGCATCTCGCGGCCATCTGGGGCGTCTTGTTGCGATCTTGGTGCGACTCGGGGCCCTGTTTGACCATTTGGGGGGCCTCTTTCAGCCATCTGGTCTCGTCTTGGAGCCCCCCTGAGCGGGGTAGGCCGACGCGAGCGATTCTGGCGGACCCCGGAAATGCCAGGGAAATGATCGGCCTGGGCCCTTCAGAGTTACAATTCCTGATGCAGCAGCAGCACACCCCTCTCCCTGTTGCATGACCGCTGGGGCACTCCACTTCGTACCAGAGGCAAGGTGGCGGTTTCTTCATCTGAAAGCGCCCACTCATAGGCGATAGGGTCCTGATATCCCATCCCGCCAAGGAGGTTTCAGTTTCGTTATCCGTCGGAGGCCCCTCGCCGATCTATCGGCGACTTTTCGCCGAGTCAAGCTCGATGTTTCCCCTCCCTGTTCTGTCCCAGCTGACCTCCCCCCTCCCCTGGGCGGGGGGTGCTCGTCGGCGTCGTCGTCGTCGTTGCCAGAACTTCCCTGCGCGGGCACTCAGAGCATGCCTGTCACATTGTTGCTGCTCTGCATGCGAGCGCAGCAAGCGTCCGCCACGCTCGCAGAGGCAGCGAGTTATCGACGAACGGTCATGACGGCGCTGCTAGGGCTGTCGAGTTGAGTTGAGTGTTCCTTTGCATTTTCCTTCTTGGTCCTCCGTCCTCATTGGTCCTCCTTCCTTTTTCTCCTTGGTCCTCCTTTTCATTATCCTCTTCTCCTCCTTTTACGCATTGGTCCTCCTTTCCCCCCTTCCCGTCGTCATCGTCGTCGTCGTCGCGCTCCTTGCCCTTCTCGCCCTCCCTCCGCGCAGGGCAGCGGGAAGCAGAATTGGGATCGGCGGGGGGGTTGAGGATAATTGATCAGAATCTAGGAAGATCGATGGGAATCGGGGACCCAGGGCTTTGGACAGGGACCCACGAGGAGCAAGGATTGAAGTGGGCCTTCGAGAACGATCGGGAGGTGGGGGAGGTGTTCGGAGGTGATCGGAGGTCTTCGGAGTTGTGGGGGGAGCAGGAGGAGGGGCGGGAGGAATGACCAACGGAGGATGTGGGTGTCCATCGGATCCTCCTTCCTCTCACCCCCCACCGTCCCCCTTCGAAAAACCAGGGCGGGTGTGGAGAGGGGGTCGGCGCACCGTGGACCCGACACCAGCACCAAGATCCCTGTTGGAATTCAGGCGATCGCAAACATGGATCAAGGGGGCGTGGATTATTAGCGACGGGTCCCGTTCTCATGGGCCATCGCGGATTTCCGCCGCCGAGCGAGGCGGCACCAGCCGCATTTTGGAGGGGGCACCTCCCCCGATCCATGGATTTGGCGACCGCGCGCGAAATCCATGGATCGCTAATCCATGTCTGCGCGCCCCCAGGGAAGGAGAATGCCGAGCCTCGGTGGCATACCGCCGCCTGTGTGTGTGTGTGTGTGTCCCTGCTCTCGCTTCTTGCTCGCTGTCAACGAACATGTTCAAGAGAGAGGCAGGACGCCGCAGGCCCTCCTCCTCCTCCTCCTCCTCCTCGTCCTCGTCCTCCTGTTCCTTCTCCTCCTCCTCCTCATCCTCCTCCTCCCCCTCGTCCTCGTCCTCCGTTTCCTACTCCTCCTCCTCCTCCTCCTCCTCCTCCTCCTCCTCCTCCTCCTCCTCCTCGTCCTCCTCTCCCTCCTCCTCCTCCTCCCCTTCCTCCTCCTCCTCCTCCTCCTCCTCCGCTCCCTTTCCTCCTCCTCCTCCTCTTCCTCGTCCTCCTCCACGTCCTCCTCCTCCTCCGCCTCCGCCTCCCCCTCCCCCTCGTCGTCCTCCTCCTCCTCCTCCTCCTCCTCCTCCTCCTCCTCCTCTTTCCTTCCAGCGAGCCCCATGGGGCACTTTAGCAATATGAGGCCTCGGGGCTGCAGGAGTCTTGAGATTCGGCCCTCGGGCTCCGTTCGGCCTGCGATGATCAGCGGCCCTGGCGTGCCCTCACCTCGCCAGCTTTCAACTTTTCGAGTGGCGTCTCAGTGCGTGCCCTTACCCGCTTTTGGACATCGGCATTGACGGACAGAGGACACCAGCACCAAGATCCCCAGTATAACGGAGCCATTGAGCGTGCATGATCCTGCAGGATTTTTGCAGGTGTGGCCCTGGCTTGAAGTCTGAGAGTTGGGAATTGAGGAGGAGGAGGAAGAGGAGGAGGGAGGAGGAGCTGTGTAGGTGAGGAGGAGGAGGAGGAGGAGGAGGAGGAGGAGGAGGAAGAGGAGGAGGAGAGGAGGAATAGGAAGAGGAGGAGGAGGAGGAGGAGGAGGAGGAGGAGGAGGACGGGAGGAGGAGAGGGGGAGGAGGAGGAGGAGGAGGAGGAGTGTGAGGAGGAGGAGGAGGAGGAGGAGGAGGAGGAGGAGGAGGAAAGGAGGAAGGAGAGGAGGAGGGAGGAGGAGGAGGAGGAGGAGGAAGGGCAGGCTCCAGGCTCTGGCACTCGTCGCTGGCTGCTGGGCTCTTACGAGTGGGCCTCGTTGGCGGGCTTCCGGGCCATTCGTCCTGGCAGGGCGCGTTTCGATTCTTCCGATTCGATTCGGTTCGACTTCGATGGATTCCGATTCCGATCCGATCGATTTCGGATTCCGATCTGGGGCCCGATGTCTTATTGGACGCATACTAGCCTGTCGATTTCCCCCGATTCGACTTTTCCTGACTCGGCTGCCGATTTCCGCCGATCCGATTCATTCCGATCGCCGACCCGACTTATCGGTTCGATTCTGGGCTCTCCTGTCCTGGTGAACGAGGGCGGGCTCGATCTGGCTCAGACACACACACACAACTTCAAAGGCAGTTGGAAGACTGTGTCGTTGGTGCTGGTCTCGTTTCCGTCCTCCCATGGGGGAAGGGGGAAGGGGAAGGAGGAATAATGAAGTGGATGAGAGGGCGGAAGCGTCGGACGGTCGCTCAGGAGAGGAGAGGAGGCGGAGATATGAGGGAGGTGGAGGATGCGAGGCGAAGTTTTAGGCGGCTGGAAGTTTACGTATGGCCCGCGGCCGTTGGTGGCAGCTTCATTTGCGCATATCGGGGCAGACGGCGATGGCCAGCCCGCTGGTGTGCCCTTGAACCATTATTCCAAGAGAGGGCGTGAATAATGAGAGAGATGGAGAGAGAAAGAGAGAGAGAGAGAGAAAGAGAGCGAGAGAGACAGATATATATATATAGAGAGAGAGAGAGATAGAGACATGAGAGACAGAGACAGAGAGAGAGAGAGTGAGGGAGAGATGAGAGGCAGAGCGAGGGATAGAGATGGTAACGCATTGTGCGAGAAACGGAGAGAGAATAATAACCACCTGCGACTCATACGAGAGATAAAGGGTTTTACATGAAGATACATACAGAGAGATGAAGGGACAGAGAGAGGGAAAGAGAGAGAGGGAGAGATAGGGAGACAGAAAGAGCGAGATAATATGAGAGATAGGGGGAGAGAGAGAGAGAGAGACGGCGCAACGGGTGAGTCGGGAGTCGGGGGCAAAGCTCGTGGGGGGAGGATCGGCTCTGTGAGGACGCATCGACTCTCCATCGCCCACTCCTCGCCCGCACGGGCCCACTAGCCCATGCCGCCCACGAGCATGCGGCTTTGCCATCGAGGGCCCCTCGCCGATCTGCGGGCGATGGAACCCCGATTCGGGCTCGATGTTTTCTCCACCGAGCTCGATGCTTCCCTCCCCTCCTTGGGTCCTTGGCTCGTCGCTTCCTTTTTCAGCAGAGGTCGAAGAGAAGGGAGGAGCGCGCGGGATTATGGCTTGGGGCTTCACGACTTTTTCTCCGATCGACCTGCGGCGACCAAGACCGAAGAATCGAGGTACATCCATGCACAAATCGATGCGCATCCAGGGAATCCGGATACATTCGAAGACTATTCGAGGGAAACCTTCAAATTTCCAAGGCATGTAATGGTAGCCTTGGCAACGGAATGAATGAGAGTCTGGAGCACATCGCAGAAGCTCCAGTGCTCCATCGTGGGAGAGCAGAAGTCCTGGAGCCCTGAGCGTCAGAAAGTCCAGGTTTGGGACTGCTTTTCCCCCCTAACCAACCGAAGCCTTCCCGAAATGATGAGCCTGTTTTCCACCACCACCACCAACATAAGTTGGAGGGGGGAAGGAGGAGGAGGGCGAGGAGGACGAGTACGAAGAGGAGGAGAGGAGGAGGAGGAGGAGGAGAAGGAGGAGGAGGACCCCCCCTCCAACTTATGGTGGTGGTGGTGGTGGAAAGCACGCCCATCACGAAACCCTCCGAAAGCCCTCCCCGAAGGGTTCCGGGAGGCTTAGCGGAGGGAAGGGTCCCAAGAGGGTTTTGGTCGTTTTGGGGGGAGCCAGTCCCCAGCGAAACGTGGGCTTCATTTTTTTTGTCGAGACGAGGGCCCAGACCCCCGGCGTCGTGTTTTTGTTCGTGACGTCGGCCCCCAGAGGTGTCGACCCTTTCCCGGGACCAGTGTCGCCAGACCCAGAGATCCTCCCCCTCCTCCTCCTCGTCCTCTTCTTCCGCGTCCTCCTCCTCCTCGACCTCCTCCTCCTCCTCGTCCTCCTCCTCCTCGTCGCCCCCCGAGTCGTGCTCTGACGGGCCAACGGCCCGGTGATGGCCCCTGTAGCGGCTGATTTTTGGAGCCTTTCCCACCGTGATTTTATCGTGTGAGCGTTTTCGTATGCATTGTACTGATCGGCGCGGGCCCTCGCACCCCCCCCCTTCGACCCCGATGGAGCAGATCTTGGCTGTTTTCGGCGCATGTTTCAAGCAGGTGGACGGCTCCCCACAGGATTGCCCGTGGGTGCATTGTTCCAAACAGTCGCATTGAGCAGAGGTCTGGAGCCAGACCCCCCCCCTCCTCCCCCCCCTTCCGCTCAATGTCGAAACGCCATATAAGAAAACGTTCACCATGACTGAAGTTAAGTTGGGCACGTCCCTCTACAGGAGGAACTTTCAGGAATAGCGAAAACTAGTCAGGTGACGAGTGCTTTGATCATTTGTTGCGTATGTTTGGGCATTTTCTGATGATTGTGTTTTTGTCCAGAGCCCCCCTGTAGGAGGACAGGCCCGACCTTAGACTATAGGGGGTGTGGGAACCCTGGGCTTTCTGGTCCTGACGAGACGAGGGGCCAGCAGCGCGCATCCGCCCCCCGCCCCCTGCCCTCTCACATTGTCCACCTCCCTCCCTCTCACACTGGCCACGGCCTCTTGCGCCCTGCCCAAAAGGGGCACGGGCACACCTGTGTGCCCGACTCTTTCGCCCTCGCCCTCGCCCTCGCCCTGCTGGAGGCTCGATCGTCCACCCCTCCCTTGCTTCACATCTGAGCGACGCAAACAAAAAGGGGTTCGTCTTCACCGACATTGGCGCGTACGCTGCTCGCGTGCTTGAGGTCGCGCGTGAGCGCCCTCGTCTCCAATGCAGCGTGCCGCGCTGGCGGCCGCGTAAGCCGCCGCGCAAGGTCGCTATGCCATCTCGCGTAAGACCCGTTTCTGATCGTCGCTCAGTTGGCTCGTGGATCAAGATCAACCCTTGCTTGCTACTCCGAGTTTCTTAATAAGGGTCGGGGGGGGGCGTCACCCCAGATCGACCCCTGTCGACCCCTGTCGCGGCGCCCCCTGTCGACCCCTGCTACGCCGACAGCCCCGCATCGACCCCTGTCGCGGGCAGCCACCGCGCGCCGAAGGCGCTCCGACCCCCGTCGCGGCGCGACGACGAGGCGAGGTGGACCCTCGTCGGAGGGGTACCCCCCCACGCTTCTTGAGAAACCCGGAGTCTGTTCTTCACGCGTTGGCTGCTCCCCCGCGCGCGGAGGAAGCAGGCGGCGACCGCGGCCGCCGCAGGCGCGGGCCCCCGCCGCACTGCGGCCCCCCCCCCCCAAGCGCCGCCCCGTCGCCGGCCTCGTCTCGGTCGATCGGTAGGCATCGCGCCGCTCCTCCTGCTCCTCCTCCTCCTCCTCCCCTCCTCCTCCTCCTCCTCCTCCTCCTTCTCCTCCTCTTCCTCCTCCTCCTCCTCCTCCTCCTCCTCCTCCTCCTCCTCCTCTTCCTCCTCCTCCTCCTCCTCCTCCCCCTCCTCCCCTCCTCCTCCTCCTCCTCCTCCACCTCCTCGTCCTGCTCCTCCTCCTCATCCTGCTCCTCCTCCTCCTCCTCATCATCATCCTGCTCCTCATCCTGGTCCTCCTCCTCCTCCTCCTCCTGCTCATACTCCTCCTCGTTCCCGTCCTCCTCCCCTTTCCCCCCTCTTCCTCCTCCTCCTCCTCCTCTTCTTCCTTCTCCTCCTCCTCCTCCTTCTCCTCCTCCTCCTCCTGCTCCTCCTCCTCATCCTCCTCCTCCCCCTCCCCAGCCTCGTCTCAGTCGACCACGGCCGTGGAGACTCGGCGGCCAGCCCAGGCGGAAGTGAAGAGGGGCGGGGCTCCCGGTCTCTTGATACAAGTTTCCGAGGCCTTCCCCGAAGACGTAGAGCACTTCTCTCTCAGGAGGGATCGGGCCGAACGAAAGGGGGGGATAGGGAAAGGGGGGTCTACGAAATCTGCTGCATGAAGCTGGTTTCGACCCCGCCGCCAGGCCCATTCCTCGATACATGGGCGCCTCCCGGCGCCGGGAGGCGCCGGGAAAATCAGCTACGCGAGCTGATTCTCAACCCCCTCCTTTGCTATCCACCCCTTTCGCACGACCCGAAGGGAAAAAAACACACAGACACAATCCATCGTCGATTCCCCAGACAATATGGGGAAATATGGGAAGTGGGGGGAAGACAAAAACCCAGAAAATATGGGAAAATGTAGTGAATCATGTTATTTGTGTCTATTTATTTGTGTGTCCCAGGGCCCCTTCACTCTCAGAAGGCGCGAGGGCTTCTGAGAAGTCCCGCCGCCTTTGAGAAGGCCTTCTCCTTGCATTTGCCCCCCTCGCTCGCCGCCGAGATGAGGGGAGCCAGTTATTGATAGTGTCCCGATCCCAAAACGTACCATCGCTGAGCCAGGTCTGCAGCAGTCTTTTTTCCTTGTGACGGCAGTTCGGGTTAGTGGAAAGGGGCGGGGGGGCGTCCCCAGGTACACATCACCAAACCACGCCCCACCAAACCCAGTCCTTCAATCTCCCGACAATATCGATCCCAGAGATCCGACCGTCGAACCAAAATTGAAGCAGCTGGTCGTTGGCCGTTTTCGGACTGCAGGAGCTATCGCTGGGCCTCGGGGCCGTCAAAAACCATTCGGGACGAAAAACCGGCCCCGGGGAAGCCGTTCAGACCTCCAGGGCCCACGCATCAGAAAAATTGGAGCGGCCAGATGTCTGGGATTGGAAAGTCAGGATGAGGAGGAGGAGTAGGGAGAGTGAGATGGGCCAGATGGGGAGGAGGGAGAAGAAAGGAGAAGGAATGGGTAGATGAGGAAGAGGAGGATGAGGAGAAAGAGGAGGAGGGCAAGCAGAAAGGCCAGAGGCTTCTTGGATGTCCATCGGAGTCCCTTCGGATTTCTCTCAAGAGCTTCTATGAGTCCTCTTGAGTGCGTCTTGGGGGCCTCGTGGCGGTCTCCGGGGGCCTCTTGAAGCGTCTTGGGTGCCTCGGAGGAGCCTCTTCGGCCCTCTTGGGTGCCTCTTGGGAGCCTCTTGCGGACCTCTTGAGGGCCTCCTGGTGCCTCTTGGTCTTTAGGCCCTCTTTTGGGCCTTCTTGGGAGCCTTGGGGGCCATCTTGGAGGAGCTCGATCAGAGAAGGGGGGTAGTACATGGCCGTCGCCCTCCCAGGAGGCCAAAATGGGCACCAAACCCTGGTCAAGTCAATGACTTTTGCCTTCTCGCCGACGCCATCTTGGACGCTCTAACCCCTCGCGGGCACTCCGTTTCTAGGTTCAGCGAGAGGTGGGAGGTGGATGGGGCAAGCCCTTCTCCGAAGGGGAGAAGGGGGTTGGAAGAGGACACCCCCCTGAACCCCTCACGCCCTAAATGGCTGCTAAAGGGCTGTCGGCCTGGGGATCTTAGGCTTCAGTTGTACACCACCGATTCGCTTAGCTATCTTCCGCCCATCTGGCGTAATAGGCGGATTCTGTCGTAACGCACGCCGTCGGCCGAAATGCGGCCGAAGTGTCGCAACCGCCGCCGTTGGGGCTTTCACAGCAGGTTTCGCCGTAAAAAAAAGTGTGTGTGTGTGTGTGTGTGTGTGTGTGCGTGTGTGTTGTATGTTCAGTTATTTGTCTTTTGGGGGGCGTGGTGGGCGGCGCTTGTCTTTGTGTCTCTGGCTCGCGCAAAGGGCAGTTTCATCATTTCGAGCCTGCCCCCCTCCCCATTGCTCAACGTCCTCATCGCTTCTCCCGCAAGCTGGTCGCGGGATGGGTGGGGAGGAGGCCAGTGGCGATGAGGGCCAGTTTTACCGCATCCGTTTTCCATTATGCCATCCCCTGCGCCTCATCCGGGCACGACGTGACGGGAAAATCGACGACACGAGGTAGCTGTTCCACAGAGGGAGTCCACAGTATTAGCGGTTGAATGGCGACATGCCGCTCTAGACTAATTTCCCAGACAGTGTCTGCACTCAGGGGTTCTCACTTCTGGTCTGAGGAACTATGTCTGTCTGGCTGCGCGCCAGCTATGTCGCCGCTGTCGCCGCCCTGTCTCCACCTCGTCGCCGACCGTCATCTGGGCCTGTCTGGGCGGTGTCGTCTGTGCGCAGCGCCCCTCCCCGCGCCACCTGCGGCATCAGCGAGCGCGACCTCGTGGCGCCCCCCCCGTCTAGTTAGAAGCGCCCCTCACACGCGCCTCGGGGCCCCGCTGCTTAACACTGCGCAGCGGGGTCTGGGGAGTCGGGGGGAAGACCTGTTTCCGTTCAAGATCGCCCCCCTGGATATTTCTCCTGGGATCCAGCCCAAGACGCTGCCTGATGGTCCCGGGGCCTTTCTTCCATCGTTCCTTTTTCATGATTTCACTACCCTTACGTCGGACCTGTCCCTCTACAGGAGGAATACCCAAGAATACTTAAAAAATAATCTGGGGACGTTTTTTGTTTCACTATTTTTGCATATGTTTGGGGTATGTTTTATTTTGCGTCCCAAGTCCGCCTGTAGGGGGACACGCTCGACCTGACACTACCCTTTTACCACCCTCCTCCATCCTCATGTATCTCTTTCTTGCCCGCTCCCTCCTCCTCCCCTCTGCTCCGTTCCTCCCTCCGTCCGTCCTCCTCCACATTCTTCTCCCCTGCTCCTTGCCGAGGTCCACCCTCCAGTCCTTTCCCCCTCATCCCCCCTCCCAGCGTCCTCCCCTGGCTTCCCCACCACATCCTCCCTGGGATCCGGCGTCGCGAAGACAATGCACGGACCCGAGACCCGAGACCCCATCCTTCTGTGGCATATCGCCAGCCGGATCGATCCGGAAGGGCCCCAGAGTTCCGCAAGAAGGCTGAAAGATTGCGACCGACGGGTCGCGGGTCCTCTCCTCCCCTCCCCCCGCATTCCCCCCCTCTGGAGGAGGGGTGGAGCCCATACTTGTGCGACCCCTAGATGTCTCGAGTTGGAATTCTGTGGAGGCTATGTGCGTGCGTTGTCGGATGGGGTTCCCCACTCAAACAGGAGCCCAATGCGGGGTTTGACAGCCCGCAGCCATACCCATCGCGCCTCCATCTCGTTGCCCTTGCTCATTTCTCATCCCCATGTTTGTTCTCCATAAGACGAGGAGGGACGAGGGAGGATGAGTTGGAAAGGAGGAGGAGGACGAGGGAGAAGGAGAGAAGAGTATGGAGGACGGGGAGGAGGAGGAGGAGGAGGGACCAGTGCAAGCCCAAGACTCATCACGACTTCCCTCCCAGTCCCCTCTTCATAGGTACCTACTCGGAGTCATTATTTTCACTGGGGGAAGTGCCCCATTGGAAAACAATCGTTTGACAGTTTGAGATTACTCCAGAACGCCATTTTTGGAACATCAGCGCCGCGAGTCTCCATTACCGTTGCGTCTTGAAGTCACTGGATCGTGCCCGCAACCATTCCTGGAACTTCAACGCCGCGGATCAACGTGATTGTTGCGCCCCGACATTCCGACATTGTGCCAAAACACCGTTTCTCTGACGCTAACCATGTGAATATCAGAAATTGCTGCAAACTCTTCATGCGGGAGCAACGTTTTCAAAAGGAACCGCCCTCCATCCGTTAATGTCTTGCAAACTGGTTCAAGGCATATGCGCTCGGCGCTGAGGCGAGAGCCACATGTTGAAGACGTGCCGCCCCCCATCCGTGAAACTCGGCAAATGTGTGAGACGAGCGTGTGCGGTGCTCAGGCGAGAGACACGTGCTGAGAAAGGCCCAGCATCCATCCGTAAGATTATCGTAGACTGTTATATGGCGACCGCTCGGGGCGCTCAGGCGACAGCCACGCCTTGAGAACGGGCCGCCCTCCATCCGTGACGCGCTTTGGCACGGCAAGCTCCTGGAGCAAAAGTGGCAGCAGAGCCTCCAGCGGAACGCCCGGCCCGGCCTTCTGACCGGCCCCTGGGGGTGCGACAGAGAGGAGCCCCCCACAAGGAGAAGGAATGGAGGGAGGAGGCACGGGGATGGAGGAAGAAGGATAGCAGAGGGTGGTGGGAGAGGGAGGAGGGCGAGAAGGAGGCGAGATGGAAGGAAAGGAGGCGAAAGCAGGAGGACACGGGGGGGGGTGGAGGAGGGGCTCCTCCCCCCCGTGTCCTCGGCAGGGGGCAGGAGAGGATGGGAGAGCAGGTGGAGGGGGGAAGAGGAGGAGGAGCAGGAGCAGGAGGAGGTGAGAGGAGCTGGGAGCAGCAGGAGGAGAGGAGGAGGAGGGTGCTGCAGGAAGGAGGGCGGAGACGAAGCGCGGATGGAGGAGGACGGACGGCGGCCTACCCGCGCGGCGGCCCCCCCCGCGCGCGGCCTCCTCCCCTCCTGCGCCGGCCCCCCCGAGGCGAGCGCCGGTGCGCCCAGGAACGCCCCCCCCCACCAAGCAGTGGCGAAGCGTCCTGGCCTGCCTCCCAGGCCCACCGAGGGGTGCTCTGAGAGCCTGCGGTGGTCTGCACGAGATGTTCTGAGAACCTTTCCGGCTTACGATCTGGCTTGTTGTCACGTTGGATTGCTGTTCTAAGAGCATTGTTTTCGTTCTCAGAAAGTTTCTGGGGGTTCTGAGAGCAAGTCGTGGTTGGCCTGTAGGATTGCCGGGACGGTCGGTCCCTGCTCGACTCTCCTCCAGGGGCAAGGTTGGCGGGGGGGCACAGGCTCAGGGTGGGAAGTGTTCCCTTCATGCTGTCAAGTACTTTATTCGCAAGCTAGATGCCCTGGTTGCAACATCTCAAAAAATAGGCCATCTGAAAGTTGGCTACGGCGCCATTGCCAAGCCACATCGTGACTTAAATGCACCATCGACATTTGGCGCGGGAGTTGCTGTATATTTTCCCGCCAGCGAAGTTCATATTTCTACATGAGCCATCTGTGCGGGGGCACAGTACCAAAGTGCCACACGAACAAGAACATGAGTTTCGCTAAAGGTTTCTAATCTGGGCTCGAGGTGAACGGTGTCGGGCGATTCCGTGGAGCGTTTTCGTTTTGAATTCGTGTTGCAGCACCGGCGGAGCGAAGACAGATCGAAGGACACCGAAGACAGATCGAAGGACACCGAAAACGAAACGAAGATGGGAAGCACTGCTTAGCTCGCACCCCGTCTCCGCGAGTGGCGAACGAGAGACCCCCGGCGAGCTGCGCAGGGGTCACGGGGAGCCCGAGGTCGCCCAGTCTGGCAGCCGTTTCGCCTCGGACTTTTCCAGGACGTGCTCGCCAGGATGCGGCCACGGTCGGGCCCCCTGAAAGAAGGAGCGCCAAAGAAGGACCGACGCCCCTTTCTGGCCCTCAAGGCGCCTCCGTGCCCGAGGAGGGCGAGAGGGACAGCAATGGAGGAGCCTGGGCAGCATCGAGCCCCTTCCGATCCGAACCCAAACGGTTCCTTGCTTCAGCGTCTTGACGGTATAACTTTGGCCCGACGACCACGCCCCCTTTGTGAAAAAGGACTACGGAGCACGTGGTCGTGCCCTCACCCCTGTCATTGGCCGACCTCCTCCTCGACAGGCCTCTCCACGCTTGCTGCCTTTAGTGCGCTCTGCTGCAGTCATGTCCGTAACATCTCTGAGGATTTCGAGGCCTGGGGTGGCTTCCATCAAATGCGACTCGTCGAGAGCGTCCTGGGGGCCGCCAGAGTCGTCCCGAATGGCCGCCAGAGGCCCGAAATATGGCTCGAAGAACAGGGTTTCGCCATCGGGGCACACCGCCAAATCATAGGCGATGTATCATCACCGCCAAATCGTCGGGGCACATTGGCAGGTCCACCCTGCAGAAACAGAGGTGCTCGTGTGTCTAGGCCATCCCTTGTCATGTCCTCTGCGTGCTCGGACGAAGGGCACCCTGGATGGAGGCCACGCTACCGTCGGAAGAGCCTCGGGTCCTGTCGCGTGTCCTCTCGCATGCGCCCCGACCGTATCCTTGTGGCCCCATCTTTCAGGAACCCACCTTCGAACCGCCGGCCCTCGCGCGGGGCCCGCGCGCGCGCGCCGCGCGCCCGGACGACGTCGACGGCGACGGCTGGCGACGGAGTCGACGTCGACGACGTCGACGGTTGACGAGTGCAGCGTCGGGCGGGCGGCTGGCGGCGGGGGCGGCAGCTGGCGGCGGCGGCGGCGTCGACGGACGGCGGTTGACGGCGGCGGCTTCGGCAGCGGTGGCGCCTGCGGGGCGCGCCGGTGCCGGGGCGATCCGCGTGCCCCGGCCGCGCCGTGTGCTTCCCTGCTGTTTGTCGTGGCCTGGGGGGGAGGGGGCTAGTGAGGACTAGAGGGAGCAAAACCAGAGTAAGCCCAAGATGGGTGAAAATGGTACGGGGGAGGTTTCCGATACATGGCGCTCCGAGTTCCCTTGCGTGTGAGGGGGTGGCCGCGGTTCACCTAATGCGTTTTCTTGGTCGTTGGATCGCCAACGATGTTCCCTTGAGCGCAGTGTGTGACAGGATGGAGTCGGAGCGTGACGTAATGTATTTCCCGTTATCTGCGTAGCTCATGTTCAGCTTTGGCATCTGCGTAGCTCATTTCCCGTCAAAGCAGCGGGGTATCAGAGATTGGTAGGTTTCCGGGTAAACATGCAAAACAGGTACGCCCAAGATGAATCAACGATACTGCAGTACGCCTGTCCTTCCAAGTCGCCTGGTCATCAGCCCCTGCAGCGATGCCGCGTCACTGCGGGAAGCGCCTCCCTGACCGACGAGTGCCCCATGGTCCTGCGATTGGGGCGAGAGCCCCGTTCTGACGAGACGCGGCCAACCATGCATCTGGCTGACAAGGAGCGGCCAGCCATGCATCTGGCTTGAGGTTCTCGTAGTCAATCGAAGAAGAAAACATAACATCAACATAAACTTGTGGCTCTCCGCGCGGATTTCTCGGATCCGCGCTGGGCCCCCATGGCGGCGCCTTCGGCGCCGCCCCTGGCCCGCTCCGCGCGCCAGGGAATGGGGTCCGGTGCTGATCCAAGAGATCCGCGCGGAGCGCAACAAGTTTCTGTTTATGGTCATCATGTTTCTACTATCGAGTCATCAGGTTCAAGACATGTCAAGCCCATGTTTGTGTTTTATGTGTATGGCTTTCAGTTGTACGTTATGGTTTTGTATGGTGTATGGTTGTGTTAGTAGCTTCAGAAAGTGAGCGCAACAACGTTTACGTTCATGGTGTTCATTTCTCTGTTATAGCATCGTCAAGTTCCACAAATGTAAAGCCCAGGAAGGGCCCCGCTCTGCAAAGAAGCCGCCCCCTGAACCCGTGCCCGTGGCAAGCCGGCTCACAACCCCTGCGGGGAGTCGAGAGAGAGTCCCGATGTTTGGAACAAGAGCTGCCCTCCATCCGTGCAGCAGCTGCAGTCTTGATCGCTCGGGCACGGGAAAGAGGGTTAAGTCGGGCCTGTCCCTCTACAGGGGGGAGATTCAGAAGAAGTAGTCAACGAAATAGTCTGGGGACCATTCTTTTTTGTTTTTACTATTTTCGGCTATGTTTGAATATTTTTTGTTTGTGCTTGATTTTTCTTCCACGTCCCCCTGAGGGGGACATGCCCGATCTAAAAATTGGAGCGTCTCAGGAGAAATCCGAGTTCGGAAAGGAGCCGTCATCACTGTGTGTTTGATCGTTTCAAGTGTTGACGACGCATGTGCTCGGCGTGATTTTGAAAGCGACCCCGTTGCATCAGAGTATTGGCTGTCAGGATACAAGACGAATGTACGCGGCGCGACGACGATCACAGCATCAAGAACATGAATTCTCTTCGAACCGTATCCCTGGCCGACGTGCTTGCAACTGATGTGCACGGCGCTCAGGCGAGAACCACTCTGAAAATTAGCCCACCTCTTCACCCGTGTGACGTGTGGAAACGTGTGGTGCGAATGTACACAGCTTTACGGCGAGCCATATTGTGAAATTGCCTTTTCCCCATCCGTGTAACGGTTGGAAGGGGTTCAGCCAAAAGTGAGGGGCGTTAAGGCGAGAGCCGTTGGTTGAGCCCCCTTCTCATCCGTGTAACTCTGAGAATTTGCCTCAGGTCCCGCGGTCATACATTGGGAGGAAGTCTGAGTCGAAACGCCCTGCCCGCTCTACCGACATTCTAGTGGTTTGGCGAGGGGGAGGAGGAGGGGAGGAGGAGGAGGAGGAGGAGGAGGAGGAGGAGGAGGAGAATTAGGATTAGGATTAGGAGTAGGAGTGTCTAACATGACGAAGGGATAGTTGAGAGGAGCGTGAGGATGAGGAGGATATAGGATGGAGGAGGAGGGCGACGGATCATACGCATACGAGAGGAGGAGGAGGAGGAGGAGGAGGAGGAGGAGGAGGAGGAGGAGCAGGAGCAGGAGCAGGAGCATGAGCCGGAGCCGGAGCCGGAGCCGGAGCAACAGCAGGAGCAGGAGCAGTAGCAGGAACAGGAGCAGGAGCAGGAGCAGGAGGAGCACGAGAAGGACGACGGATTGGGGCGCGAAGGCAGTCGCACGTCGCGGTCTGGGCCGGGACTGCTGCGTTTCTCCAAGCGGCGCGAGTGCGTAATGGCGCGAAGATAGTCTCGCGTCGCGCGCACTGCGCCCCACCCCCGCGATTCGCGAGGTCAGGTGACCAAGGTAACAAGGGGTGCATGGTCGAACACGACCCAGACCTCCGATTTCTTGATTTCCCGACCATCCTGTGGTGTTGGGCCCTGGCTTTGAAGAGGCAGCGCCTTGCGTCGCGCCTCGTGCTCCTCTCCCTCATCCCATCCCTGCCTCTCCCCTCCGCATCTCTGTGTGTGCACACCCGTCACACGCTTCGTGGACCCATAGGGAGCTCCACCGAAGGTCCTAGTGGCACCGTTCGCATACTACGTCCCCGCCACCCGTGTCGGCACTCCCCTCACGCATTACGCGTTTTGTTTCCCCATATGGAGCTCCACCGAATGTCCCAGAGGCACCGTTCGTATGCGGCCTTGCCACCCATTTCGGCGCACCCGTCCCACGCTTCGTGGCCCCATAGGGAGCTCCACCGAAGGTCCCAGTGGCACCGTTCGCACGCGTCCCCGCCACCCATTTCGGCACACCCCTCACGCGCTTCGCGGCCCCATAGGGAGCTCCACCGAGGGTCCCAGTGGCACCGTTCGCATACCACGTCCCCGCCACCCGTGTCGGCACACCCCTCACGCATAACGCGTTTTGTTTCCCCATACGGAGCTCCACCGAATGTCCCATAGGCACCGTTCGTATGCGTCCTTGCCACCCATTTCGGCGCACCAGTCCCACGCTTCGCGGCCCAATAGGGAGCTTCACCGACGGTCCCAGTGGCAACGTTCGTATGCGTCTCTGCTTTTCATTTCGGCACACCCGTGCCACGCTTTGTGGCCCCATAAGGAGCTTCACCGACGGTCCCAGTGGCAAAGTTGGCGCGCGTCCCCGCCACCCATCTCGGCACAACCCTCGCGCGATTCGTGGCCCCATAAGGAGCTCTACCAAGGGTCTCAGTGGCACCGTTCGCACGCGTCCCCCCGCCCATGTCGGCACACCCCTCACACCTTTCGTGGCCTCATATGAAGCTCCACCGAAGGTCCCAGTGGCACCGTTTGTATGCGCCCCTGCTTCCCATTTCGGCACACCCCTCACACGCTTCGCGGCCCCAAAGGGAGCTCAACCGAAGGTCCCAGTGGCATCGTTAGTATGCGCCCCCGCCACCCATTGCGGCACACCCTTCACGCGTTTCGTGGCTCCATGGGGAGCTCCACCGAAGGTCCCAGTGGCACCGTTTACACGCGTCCCCGCCACCCATTTCGGCACACCCTTTCACACGCTTTGTGGCCCCATAGGGAGCTCCACACAAGGCCCTGGCATGTCTGGCATGCGTCCCCTGCACCAATTACCACACGCGTCGCACTCCTCAGACTTTTCGTGGCACCGTAGGGAACTCCACCGAAGGCCCCAGTGGCACCGCCTGCATGCGTCCTCCGCACCAATTCCGACACACTCTTCACACAGCCGTTGCCCGATAGGGAGTTCCATCGCAGACGGTACTCAAAATTGCGGTGTTCACAACCGCATATCGTTGTGTCCTTCGGCAGAAAGTTTTTCGATGCGGTGTCTATGGGGCTTTGGGCCACTCCCCACTGGCCAGCTTTTCGTCCCGGGCCGTTTTTACGCGGTCCCGTGACCCGGTTCCCCCCCACCCCCGCGCACGCGTTCTTGACAGAAGGATCGGAATGGGCAGAAAACGGAACTGCGTTCCAAAACTGGTCCGTCTTGAGGAAAACAACGCTGTTCAAATGCATTCGCCTCCGCCGGCTGCTCGATTGCTCGAGGATTTGAATGTGTACCCGGAAGTTAATGGCTTGTGCTTCGAAGAAGAAAAACGCCATAAACATAAACTTGTTGGTGCTTCGCATGGGTTTCTTGGATCCGCGCTGGGCCCCTTGGGCGGCGCCTCCGGCGCCGCCACTGGCGCGCGCCGCGCGCCAGGGAGGGGGGCCCAGCGCGAAGCCAAGAAGTGCGCACGGAGCGCCAAACGTTTATGTTTATAGAGTTCTTGTGCTGCTTCACGAAGAAACAGCAGAAAGGAAGGAAGAAATAAGGACACTGCAGAAACTGCAGGAACTTCTTTCTGATGTTTATGTTTATGTTCTGCAGAGAGGAACTGGAACTGCGGGCCGTGAGGCGGGAAGCCGCGGCGAGAGCCCGCGGCCCGATGGCTGCCCCTTCTGGGGTGTCACGGGGAGGGGGACGGCGACGAGGGCGCCACAGGCGCAGAGGGCGGAGAGGGAATGGTGCAGGAGGAGGCAGAGGATATGGAGGAGAGGGAGGACGAGGAGAGGGAGGTTATCGAGACGGAGGAGGAGGAGGAGGAGGAGGAGAGGGAGGAGGAGGAGGAGAAGGACAACAAGCTCCGTTCTTCATGTCTGGTCGGCGTCAAAAGTAGGAGGAGGAAGGAGAATACTAATCAGAAATAACAGAACAAGAGGAAGAGGAGGAGGAGGAGGAGGAGGAGGAGGAGGAGGGAGGAGGAGGAGGAGGGAGAGGAGGAGGAGGAGAGCCAAGGAGGAGGAGGAGGAAAAGGAGGAGGATGAGGAAAGGGGAAGGAGGAGGAGGAGGAGGAGGCAGCAGCAGCAGGGAGGAGGAGGAAGGAGGACGGAGGAGCCAAGGAGGAAGGGGGCGCCAAGGAGGAAGGAGGAGCCAAGGAGGAGGAGGTCTGGGAGATCTGGGGCCCTTCGCCGCCGCTCCGTGGGCGGCCGCCGGGCCCCTGCGGCTCGCCGCCCCTGCGCGCAGGACTTCATGCCCAGCGTGCTGCGCTCCTTCCCGTCGCGCGTGGTCGTGGTGCAGGCCGCGGGCTGGCCGCTCGCTCGATGGGCCTGTTTTCCACCACCGCCACCATAAGTCGGAGGGGGGAGGGAGGTGGAGGAGGAGGAGGAGGAGGAGGAGGAGGAGGAAGAGAGGAGGACCCCCTCCCCCTCCAGCTTATGGTGGTGGTGATGGAAAACGCGCCCATCATCGCTGCTGCGCGGGGGGGGGGGCCAGAGTCGGAGATTCCTGAGCGTATAAGCTGAAGTCGGGCCCGTGCCTCGTGCAGGAGGATTGTTCAGAAACAGTCAAACATAGTCTGGGGACGAGTTCCCGATTATTTGTTCCACAATGTTTGATTGTTCTTCTTCTTTTTAGACAGAGAGAGAGAGAGAGAGAAAAAAAAAAAAAAAAACAATAATGTTTCATTGTTCGTCGAAGATCCGCCTGCAGGGGCACACGCCCGACCTGCTCCTGAGCCTCGCTTTTTCGGGTCGGGTCGGCGCTTCGGCAGTCGGGGTGCGCTCGGCAGTGGCTCGGGGGAGCTGGCAGGCGCCCTGGAGCGCCCAGAGCTGCCGGCGCAGAGGAGGCCAGGGACAGAGGGAGCGACAGGCGGAAGCGTGAACGGAGGCCGGGGGAGAGAGGGGGGGGTGGAGAGAAGCACCCCAAGGAGACGCAGAAGCCTCCCCCCGACGGCGCAGACAACTTCCCAGAAGGCCGGAGGGCTTCTGAGGAGCCCTGCCGCCCTCTGAGGATGCTTTTGCCTTCTCGCTTCCCCCCCCTCCGCTCGCCGCCAGCAGACATCCGGCGCCTCGAGCAAAAACCGAGGCACGGATTCTTCATCGGCTTCTCGGCCTCTGCGGGCGCGAGGCCTCGGGACGATCGAGAAATGCCCTGGGGTGTAGAACCGGTCCAGGGGAAGCGGTCGAGAAGTCGAAGGCCCATGTTTCGGACAAAAGCGATACGCCAGATGTCTTTCACCCTTTTCAACCTTTGGGGCTCTTACGGGCCCTCTGGACCGTCAACGAACCACCTCCGGCGCCCCGAACAAATATAGACGCACCTGATTTTTTTCATGGTCATTGTCGGCCTCTATGTATGCGCTTGGCCTCCAGAGACCGTCAACATATGGTCGGGATGAAAACATGTCCTGTGAAAAGTCCCCCTCCTCCACCACCACCAGCTCCCTCCTCTCCTCTTCACCCCTGGTTATGAAGGGTGAGGAGGAGGAGGAGGAGCAGGTAGAAGAGGACGAGAAGGAGGAGGAGGAGGAGGAGGAGGAGGAGGAGTCAACCCGCAGAGCAAGGGGGGTCGACTCTCCAAGGGTACTCCTGCATCCTTCCCCTTCGGCCCCTCCGTGGCCGTTTGCGCGGGCGGCGCCCCCCTCGCAAAATGTAGACATGGCATTCCAAGGCCCTCTGCTCTGTATCCCACTCTGCCCGACGGCCAAACACCACCGCGGCCCCAAGCATCCACCCTGGAGCGAGGAGAAGGGAGGCGGGAGGGGGAAAGCCAGGCGCCCCCATGCTCTGGGCACTCGAGGGTGGGATGGGGAAGAGCGAAACTAACGAAGGAGGCTGAACATAGCGACAATAACGTGAGGAGGAGGACGAGGAGGAGGAGGAGGGCAGGAGCAGGATGAGGAGGATCAGGATGAGGGGGTGAGGAGGGGGAGGAGGAGGAGGAGGAGGAGGAGGAGGAGGAGGCGGAGGAGTAGGAGGAGGAGGAAGAGGATCAGGAGGAGAAGGAGGAGGATGAACAGGACGAAGAGGAATACTAATCTTAAGGCAAGTCAGAAGCATCAGATGAGTCATAATAATACTTCTGCTACTTCGAAGAATCAAGACGCAACAGAAGACGGAGACCACGAAACAGAAGAAGAGTAGCAGGATGAGGAGGAGGAGGAAGAGGAGCAGGAGGAGGAGGCGGAGGAGGAGGAGGAGGAGGAGGAGGCGGAGCAGGAGGTGCAGCAGGAGCACGGAGTGAGGGGATCTTGGGGAGGATGGGCACAGGCCCTTAGACGGGGGCGCTCCCCGCCGCAGGTCGCCGTCGGCGGGGACATGATGGGCGCCCACAGCCTCGCGGAGGGGCCGGGTGGGAGGAGGGAGTGTGCCGATGGTTGATTTCCCTCCCCCTTTCTTGGCTTCGCCCTCTCTCCTCCGCCTTGCCTCTGAGTGTTCGCCTTCTGGAGTTACAGGCGAGGCCCTTACCACCCTGCATCTTCTGTTCAGGCGCCTCATTTCTCCACTCCTGGCTAATTAGGTCATTCGGTTACCTCGTCTCATACATCTCGCTTCTCACCGTTTCTCTCCCCGCAGGGCTTAGCCGCGGGAAGGTGGCAGGACAGGTTTGCATGGCCACAGGATCGCCTTCGACTGTCATGCGCAGCAGCAGCCGAGGGCTGATGTCAATGGGAGAAGAACCACGCAGACCCGACAATTTGCGTTTGCTCAAAGGTCCTGGGCGTTCACTTAACAGCCCTGCCCTGTTCGATTCCTTCTATGGGTGCGTTTACTAAGCGGCCTCGTTTGGCGGGGTGGTTCTTAACTGTGGGGGTGGAGTTCTGCCCTCTGTAATGACCGCGTTGCTGGGGGCTGGCGGTGTCCTTGGCTCGAAGGAGCTGGCCCCATGCGGGCCTGCCCGTCTCCGTCCGGCGCCGGGCGGCCTGCCCGGGGGGGGTGCCGCTCGGCGCCGTTCGTCCGCGGTGCGCCAGGGAGGCTCGGCGGGGGTGGCCCGCTGGACCGAGCTCGAAACCCGCAGTTGCTGCGGGCTCGGGCAGGCCCGGGCGAGCGTCCCCATGCCCGAGTCAGGCGAGAATGTCCCCGCCCCGCGCGGCCGCCGCCTCGCAGCGCGCTCCTCCTCCTCCTCCTCCTCCTCCTCCTCCTCCTCCTCCTCCTCCTCCTCCTCCTCCTCCTCTTCCTCCTCCTCCTCCTCCTCCTCCTCCTCCTCCTCGTCGTCGTCGTCGTCGTCGTCGTCGTCGTCCTCGCCTCCATTTTGGCTCAAGACGGCACCCTGGCAGGACGGGCTTCCTCCGAGTCCTGGTCGAGCTGCCCGTTCGGCCTGGCCTGAACTCTCGCACTCTCATCGCACCGCCTGAGTTTGGAGCGCGCATTTTGCTGCAGCCATGCTCGCGCCTGCGCCGCCGCCCCCTGTGGGGGTGGACGCTGAGGGCCGACGGATCCGCCAGAGGACTGGCGAGCCCCCCGCCGTGGAGCTGGACGACGAGTTGACGGACGCCGAGACGGGTCCCGCTGTTCCAGGCGGCGGCGGCGGCCTGGAGGCCCCTGCGGGAGGAGACGCTCGCGCCCAGCTGCCGCCGCCCCCGCAGGATCCCTCGCAGATGGCGCTTGCCCAGTATATCATCAGTTCAGTGACCACCAGCATGAGCGTGAAGGTGGACGCAGTTGAGGCCCAGGTATCGTCGCTGAGGACCACGGTGAACGCTAGCTCGGCCTCCATCTCTTCTATCCAGTCAGGGCAGCGGGCCCAGCGCGCGCGGCTCGACGCGCTGGAGGCTGCTTCGAGGGCTCCGTCGTCAAACGCCAGCACAGCCGCGGGTCTCGGTGCTCCTTTGCGACCTGGTCTGGGAGCGGGACACGCGTGCGAGGCCGACCCGTGGAGCGACTACCTGCGCAGGGCCCCTGGTGACCAGAATCAGTTCGGGGCTCCCCGGACTCCTCGCGGCGGGAAGAATGCGAAGCATGTGGTTTTCGTGGCTGGCTTCCCAGGCACTTGGGACAAGGACGAGGTCGAGGCCCACCTGAGATCGAAGTTGAGCGAGAGGGCGACGCTCGAGTCACAAGGCACCACGGAGATCTACGGAGTAGGACGTTTCTGTGATCAGGCGAAGGTGGCCTTTAGCTGCAATCGGCAAATGTGGAATTTTATGAAGGCATGGAAGGGCAGGAAGATACCGTGCCAAGGAGCCAAGAACGACCAGCTGTGGCACAAGGTGGACCAGGAGCCCCACGAGGTCGAGCTCTCGCGGCGAGTCTCCGACGCGGTGAGGCTGCTCAGAGAGTACGGGGAGGCCAAGAACTTCTGCAACGCGGACTCCAATATGAAGACTTTCGATGGCGACTGGGACCGTGGCCAAGTGGTCTCCCGCCGCAACGGGAGTGAGGGACCGATCAGGATCCTGCAGCGATCTCGCACCACGGGCTTGATGGAGATCTGCGCCGAGCCGCTGGCCAAGGCTCTGCTGGGCCAGGAGCTGGCAGAGTTCAAACTCCCAGAGCGGCCCGGAGAAATCAAGGACCCTCCCAGGCCACAATGATTCAAGTCGAGGGGCCGCCGCTTCGCCAGGGACGCCAGGGACCTTGCAGTTCTGGGGTGGAATGTAAGAGGCGTCCGCGGAGCGAGGAGGCGGCAACAGCTCCTCGATGGCCTGCGCGCAGCTTTTGATGTGCGTGTTATCCTGTCCCAAGAATGGCGCGTGGCTGGTGGGCCCGAGCAGCTCTTCGATGGCTGTGTCGTTCATGTGTCGCCTCCAGCGGGGGCCTGGCAGAGATGCGCAGTCGCGGTCCACGAGTCTTTGGTTCCATCCATCGTGAGCCCCCCCCCCCCCCCGAGCTTCCACGCTCGCACCATGTCCCTGGACTTACAGCTGCCTATCTGGGGACGTGTTCGGCTGATTACCAGCCATCAATTCTCGCATATCGTCCGTTGTGAATACGCTGAGACCATTGCGCAGCTTAGAGCGTCTGATTACAATGCCTATTGATTGCCACGCCATGGTCAGCGTTGACGCCCAGAATGGCCTGGGGATTGGAGACGGAGAGACGGTCGGCCAAGACTCGGCTACCAAGCTGACCTGGCGGGGCGGAATGCTGTTCGACTTGATGATTGAATCCGACTTGGTTGCTACCAACACCTTCTTTCGAGGACAGTGGGGACAGGCTACATGCTACTACGACAACCGAAAGGAGCCAGGCCAGATAGACTTCATGTTGTGCCACCGCGACTGGCTCGCCTCAGCGACGTGCCGGGCCCGCTTCATGGATGCCAAGCAGAGCGATCACCTCCCTTTGCTGCGACGCTGCCACGCGTCAAAGGCCATCCCGACGATCACCGAGCCCGAGAAGGCTCTCGAGGACGCTGACTTGATGGAACGGCCGCCGCGCAAGCCCGTTGCTTGGCAATTAGAGGACGCCCACTTATTCAATGAGACGGCATGCTCGACTCTGCGGATACCGTATTTTCCGACCGCGATGGATGGCTTCACCGAGGGCGACCTCGCGAACGCGCTGGGCATCTTCACGGACGGCTCGGCGCGGGGGCGACGGCGTGGACAGCGCCAGGCTGCTAGCGCAGGCTGGGGCTTCGCCGTCTACCGCGCCACCATGCCGCACGACCAAGACGAGCCGATGGTCGAGGCGTGCGGCCCTGGGGTCACCAACCACCTGGACCCCCGCTTCCTGGGCGCCTGTGCCCTCATGGCGAACGCGGGCGAGCTCTCGGCGATCGTGGAGGCGCTCTTGTGGTTGCTGGGTCAGCGCGGCTCCCTGGGGCCGACGGCCCAGGACGGCAGGCTCATCCAGATCGTCACCGACTCGACGTACGTCCAGGGGCTCCTCACTGAAGTTTTTCAGCCACCGGAGAACGCCCCCGTTGGCGATATTGGCCGTGCACCTGTGGAAGCGGGCCGCCTCGCACTTTGATATGTACATCCGATGGGTCAAGGGCCGCCGCGGCAACCTGGGCAACGAGAAGGCGGACTACTGGGCTAAACGGGGCGCGGACAAGCGCTTCGACACCGCCCACTGGAGACGGCCCTACCCTGCCCATGATTGGGGAGCCGAAGAGTACCGTCGACGAGTCAGGGAACATAAGCTGGCAGAGGCTAGAGCACGCAAACGACGCTGCTCCGAGATAGCCAGGGAGGACGGCGGCGAAACCTTCGCGCAGCTCTTCAACCCGCAGCCGCGTCTGGCCGCGTGCTCCAGACAGGGCGCCCCGTCCATCTCCGCGCTGGCGTCGGCGGTCTCCGCTGGTGCAGCCGTGGCCGGCCACGCCCCTCGGCGTGGACGTTGGCGCCCCCCACAGGGAGACCCTGAGCTCCTCCACCTGAAGCGCCTGGAGCAGCTGCGCGCGCAGGAGACGGACTTGCGTGCGCGGCACCTGCTGGGGCCTACGGCGGCCAAGGCCAAGCGTGCCCTGAGGGGCCGCTGCAACGCGACTCACTTGGAGCGCTTGTGCGCGAAGGGACGGGCCGACAGACCATATCGCTCTGGCAAGCCTGTCTACGAGCTGAAGACGGAAGAGGGGCGGAGCGCCAACACCGTGCAGGCCCGCTGCGAGCGGACCCGCGCCTTCTACGCCGACCTGTTCGCTGATCCGACCAGCGACCAGGCCCGGCCCGCCTGGGTGCGCTGCCAGTGGGCAGCCGAGCACCAACAGGCGGAGGCCCCTCTCTCCCTCACTCTGCTCAAAGCAGTCATCGGTCAATTAAGGAGTAGCAGATCGTGCGCCGAGTCTGACATGATTGTAGCTGAGATGACCCAGGGGCTCCAGGACGATGTGCTCGAACAGATGCTCGCTGCGTTTCGCCTGAGACTCTGCGACCATGTGAGCGAGTACTTCGACCAGGCCTGGACGGAGCACGTTGTCCAGTTGATCCGAAAGAAACCTGAGGCCCTGAAGGTGGCCGAGTTCAGACCCATCGCCCTGGCATCGGTGCTGCTGAAAATCCGGTCGGCGATGGTCCTGGAGGTCCGACGTCCCATCTATCTTGGAAGCTGATCGTTCTGAGTGCCAGTTCGCGTTCCGTCGTAGTTACCAAGCGCATGAGATTATATATATATATATAGCCTTCGCCATCTTGATGAGAAGTTTTGTGAATACCGCGATCCACCCCTCGTTGTCGCCGGGGGAGACATCCGCAAGCTTTATGACTATATTCGACACCCCCTCCTGGCAAAACGTTTAGATGAGCACGGGGTGTCCCGTGTTGCTAGCAGTTTTTGGATTAGGGAGACCCGCAATTCTGCCGCTCGTATCCCTCTGCCCGGCAACCCCCTCACCGAGAGCGTCCGTAGGGGAAGGGGCCTGATCCAGGGGGGCCCCGCGGCGCCCGAGTTGAGCAGCGTTTCTCTGGACGCGGACCTCCGCGAATTCCAAGACCTCTGCCGAAAGAATGGCTGGGGGCTTTGTCTCGCGATGCCAAGGGGGGAGGATCTGACCCTAGGGGATTTAAAGTTTTGCGGACAATTTCTGGATTTTGGCGCGTTCGGCCTCGATGGCCGCTGAAATGGCCGAGGCCTGGCTCCGCATTTTAAACAAAAGCGGCCTGGAGGTTCCTGCCAACGACATGGAGTGGTGCCATACGTATCCCACTTATATCGGCACGCTTCGCGTCAGAGGCACCTTGGCCCCCTGCCGCGAAAGAGCGGACGGTCTCAAGGTTCTAGGCACGCACATGGATTTCGACAGGAGCTGCACGGTGGAGGTAGGCAATAGGATCCAACGTGCGTGGCGCGCTTGGGCCGCACACAAGAATATGCTTGCTAATCCCACAATTAGCCTCAGCAAGCGACTGATAGCCCTAGACCGATGCGTCCGCCCCGCGCTCACTTATTGCATCTGGGGCCTGCATCTGTCGGTATCAGGGCTCAGCCGCCTGTCCAAATGTCACTGTACTATGCTGAGGCGAATCGTTCGCCCACCTACAGCCGACACTGTCGCCGAATATATGAAGAATGCCATGTCCCAAGTAGCTGCCACCCGCATTAGATATGAGATCGAGCCGTGGACGCAAACCTGCAAACGCCTGTCCCATGCTTGGGCGGGCCACCTCCAGGGGATGGCACAGTCCAACCCCGACCGCATAGCGTATCGTGTACTTTGATATCGGGATAGATCCTGGATGACTGCCATGCAACGCACCTCGGGCTCCCAGCTGCACCACCGCACTGTAGGAATATGGCGCCGGGAAAGGGATTTCTATAAGTATTTTGGTTTCGATTGGCTCGCCAAACCATACTCTAAGCAGTCGTGGGTTGACGGACAGCGCGCGTGGCTTGAATGGCGCCAAACTTTGAGATAATCTAGGCTGCTGCCTAGTACGCAGATCCGCTCAGCAGCGTCGGGGCCAGGAGCCGCCATTGCAATACGCTTACGAAACGAAGCGTCCTCGCCTCCTCCTCCTCCTCCTCCCCCTCCTCCCCCCTTTCCTCCTCCTCCTCTCCTCCTCCTCCTCCTCCTCCTCCTCCTCCTCCCCGTCCGCCTCTTCCTCCTCCTCCTTCTCGTCCTCCTCCTCCTTCTCATCCTCCTCTTCCTCTCCTTCTCGTCCTCCTCTCCTCGTCCTCGTCCTCCTCTTCCCAAGCATTGCTACTCCGCTCTTCCCAACCCTGTTGGGCCCATATTGCTTATTGGTTCGGTTCCGGGCTGGGTCGGCAAATTTGTTCGGGTTCCCGCCCCCGGCTCGCGCAGAGGAAGGATCTTAATGTCGGGCACGCAGCTGTGGATACCATATCTCATATGTGGCTTCGAGCATCGGCCAGGGGGGAACTTTGAGACCCAGGCGTGTAAGTTTGTTGGCGCCTGGCGTTTTCGCCGCTTGGTTTCGGGAATCGCACATCTATCTGGCTCGAGAAAAACAGATCAGCAGAAAGACGAGGGCAGGGTTCCGGTCATGGCGGCGTTGTTGTCGCAACGCCGGATTTCAGGGGGGAGAAGATCGTCGGATAGGAATGATCGGGCATGATCAAAGGCCGAGCGGAGGTCGTAGGGTGCCGGGGGGGGAAAGGGGCAGGTTGGTTTGGGTTTGGGCGTCAATCGTTTGGGGGGCGATCAGTGGGGGGGGGGAGAGAGTGCCTATTTCGGGCCTTCAAGGTCCCCTCTGGGCCCTACTTTGAGGGGCCTTGAACGGCCTGTTCCAAGGCCTCTTTTCGGTAGCCTTCGCTGCCCCCCCCCCCCCCCCCCATTTATCGCCCCCCACGAATTCGCGCCCAAGGGGTCGAGCGGGAGGTCGGGGGACGTGGGGCTTGGGGAGGTGGGGGATTGTGGAGGGTCCGATGGTCGGAGGGGCTTGGGTGGGTGGGTGGGTGGGGGGGGCAAAAGGGGGGGGAGGGGATGATCCGGGATCGAGGGTCGGAGGAGGGCCAGTCGAGACAACGGCGGCCCTCCTTGGCGGCTCTCGTCTCTTTGTTCGCCTCCTGTTTTTGGTCGTCGCGTCTCTCTTTGTTCGCCCTCCACACGAACAACGGGTCAGGATGGACGCGGGACACGTTTTTGTTGGTTGTCCATTCAGGTTCTCTATATGTTTTATCAGTGGGT